GGCCCTGCCGGCTGGTAAGGCGCACACTCCGCGCCGGGCAGTGCAGAGGCCCTGGTTTACCGTGAAGAGGGCAGGCAAAGGCCTTTCCTTTTTTCTGAACCTGCTGCTCTCAGACCTCCCCCGCTCCCGCACACACTTCCTGGCCTCTGCCTTCTGAATGATTAGCTGAGATTAGAACTTCTTGCTCCCCTGAAACTAGCTAGACAGAGATAGACATTTCTGCTCACCTGGCTGAAAGTTCCGATTGCAACACAGTCCCAACCACAAACCACCCCCCCTTCCTCCCGTGGCAGTCTAAGGAAAGCCACCCTGCCCAGATGCTCTGATCTGCTTGTCTGGTGTTAACTAGGAAACATTCAAACCATTGAAGAATTTTTGTGATTTTATTTGAGCCAAACTGTCGACAACGGATTGAGAAAATGCAAGCATGGCAGCTTTGCACCTTGTTTATACATTACTAGAGCCCCGGTGCACGGATTCGTGCACTGGTGGGGTCCCTCGGCCTGGCCTGCACCCTCTTGCAATCTGGGACCTCTCGCGGGATGTTGGACTGCCAGCTTTGGCCCAATCCTCACAGGCCAGGCCAAGGGACCCCACTGGTACACGAATCCATGCACCGGGCCTCTAGTATGCATATAAGATCTTTGGTTAATGTCTTCCTGCCCTCCCCGCTTCCCTCTTCCCTCTGAGATTCATCAGTCTGCTCCATGTTTCCATGCCTGTGCATTGAGCATTTGTCCCCTGGTGGCCAGTGCACGTCATAGCTACAGGTCGAACGGTCATTTAGGCTTTTATATATATAGATAGTCAAAAGAGTAAGTGGGTTACATGAAATCCATTGGTGAAAAATGCAGGGGGCGGGGAGGCAAAGCAGGGGAACCTCTGGGATTGGATAAAAAATGATAGACATACTTCCTTTACACAGGTGGGTGTAGGATAGTTAACAGCAATGAACTCACTAACCATGAGGGGGTTTGTGGTCTCCACGGAGCGGTGCCTGTGCTTTGAGGGGTCTGGGAAAAGGAAAATCACGTTGACATTCCAACTATTAGTATATGTTATGGTAGATGCAAAAGGACGATAGACAGGCTCAGTTAAGGTAAAGATCGACCTTGTCAGGGAAGATACCGGCCTAGGACATGACTATCCACCATAAACTGCTTTTTAGTTTAAAAAGTTTTCATTTCAGACCATTCTTTGTGTTACTTTAGGTCTCTGAGTTTGCAAGGCTGCCACGCAGGCCTCCCCTGAGGTTGTCAGGTTAGCATGTGGCCCCTTTTCATCCACACTCTCCCTATTGCAATGCCCTGAATAGAATCCATATTCTTACTTGTTTATTTTTGTCTTAGACAAGGAGGAGAATTTTCTTGTCTTTTGGTTGGAGGAGGGTCAGTGGAGGTATAAGCAAAGATTCCCCAGGAGGTGCAGACTTGCAGAAATAGGGCCTTTTGTTAGTGGCAAAGTTAGTTACATCTTGGACTGAATTTCTAGGCATGCCTAGCCTGCTGTAAGGTCTCATTTGGTGCCCTGGGAGGTCCACCTCCTACCTTGGAGTTGAGAGATGGGGATTCTTTGATGTCAGCTCTGCGGCAAATTCCCAGAGTTCTCTGAGTCAAGCCACATCTCAGCTGTGATCATCCTTGAACCCGTTGTTAGCCAGTTTGCATGCTGGCAGAACAAAGTTCTAGGCTTCAGAAAAGGGCATGGGAAGGGAAGGAAGAAAGAGGTGTGGTTTCTTTCTGGAAATACTAATCTACACTAATAAAAGAGAAACATGCAAATTGGTGTCACTCTGCTATGCCCACCAGCCAATCAGAACGACTATGCAAATTAACCCAACAAAGATGGCGGTTAATTTGCATACGCAGGCACAGAGCAAAGACTGAAGGCTCTGGCTGGAGTGAAGACTGAAAACTGAAGACAAGAGACTTGGCTTCTCTGCTGTGGCCTGACCAAAGGCCTGGGTCCTGGGTGCCAGAGGAAAACCAGTGCCGGCAGCCAGGGGAAGGAAGGCCTATTGCACGAATCTTCGTGCAACGGGCCTCTAGTTTATATATATAAAAGCCCAGTGACCGTTACGGTGGAACGACCGGATGACCAGAATGACGGGTCACTATTACGCGCACTGACCATCAGGGGGTAGATGCTCTAATGCAGGAGCTTCCCCCTGGTGGTCAGTGCACTCCCACAGCGGGAGCGCCGCTCAGCCAGAAGCCAGGCTCATGGCTGGCGAGTGCAGCGGCAGTGGCGGGGGGCCCTCCCGCCTCCCCAGCAGCACTAAGGAGCAGCGAGCCAAGTGGTAAGGAGGGAGCAGGTGGGTGGTTAGGAGCGAGGGGTCAGACATCCCTTGAGGGATCCCAGATTGCAAGAGGGCGCAGGCCAGGCTGAGGGGCCCATCCACCCCCACACGAATTTTGTGCATAGGGCCTCTAGTTTTCTTATAAGAGAATTCATGGGTATAACTTGCCCTGTGTAGTGGGCAAGTTATACCCATGTGCAACTTTAAAATCCAAGCCTTCCCCTTTAGCTGTGGGAATGACATCTTCTCAGGCTGTTGTGAGAATCAGCAGAGCAGGGAATTAGCAGGACCTAGAACCAAACATATAAAATACAAATATTTATTTCT